TAAAATCGCCTGTGTGTTTTTCCATCTCATTGCTGCGCTTTTTTTCTAAATTCTTTTACAGTTTTCAACTTACTGTACAGGTAGCAAGCTCCCATTTTGATCTAGTAACTCGATCCTTGTGTAGAATGATTATACACAAGGATAATACCGATACTTGTGAAAATCAAATATTTCTGATCACGTTAAGTGCCTCGAAATTGATCGGGAAGAAACAGTGTCACAGTGTTACGTTTTTTAACCATTTTCTATCCGAAAAAGAATAGTTCACAGAAAATCTTTTCTACTGCTTAAAAGCCCGGTCTATGCTCTACGAAACTGGCTCTATAAGTACTCCATTTAAAGAAATACTTGCAAAACAAAATTGGAGTTTTATAAGTCGCACTAGAGAAAAAGGGTCTTTTTTATGTAACAGCGTTACGCAATAATAAAACCTTCCTAGAAGTCCAAGACTTCAGGCATAAAAACGTCATTTCTGCAGCATGAATAAAATATGATAAACTGCATTGAATGGTCTTACAATAAACTTCATAGCTCTTGAGTCTTTTGAGATAATTGAAAAGCAATATGCCATACACATAACAGTGTTACCTTTACACAAGCCGAATGAAGATAGAGGAGGTAATTGAGACATGATATATCTGGTGGGCTGCAACATTCTTTATCTCGTACTAGTCCGGATCCTGGTTCCATTGAGAAAAGACTTGTTTTGTGCCAGACCCGGATAAAGGCACTTGGTCTCTGTAAAAAACATAATGTCTTCGGTCAGAGATGAAACCGGTACCGGTTACCGGCCGGTCCGGTCCGATACTGGCAGACCAGTCGATTACAGGCTCTATCTTGTTTACTTTTCTGCTTTTATTGTATATACTTTTTCAAAATTTCTATTGCTTGCAACTGTATGAAGTCGTTTATCTTGAATATAATTAGATTCAATGTTTCTTTTGCACGTTTTCTTTGTGAACTCGTGACATGTAACAAGGGTAGAATTGATACCGGCCTGCCCAGTCTTGTCTGATACCGGGCTAGATTCCAGACCAACCGGTTAATTACTTGTAGACCGATACCAGTAGCAGTCATGAAAAATCCAGACTGACTCCATCTCTGTCTTCGGTGATAATCGAAAAACGTTTTCGGTCTCGCTTCACGCCTAGGAATATTGGCTATAGGAAAAAGGGACAAAGCATTGCAGGAGTACAAATAAATTCGAGCCATGTTTCATGGCTTTCATTTCTTTTAGCATCCTTCGCCTCCGAAGTCATGACACTCTTTGCCATAGCAATACTTCCATCGTTCTAACTTCTATTGTATTCGCAAACACATTATTTACGAAAACAAAAGTTCCAGTATGGAAATCGTGAGATAATAAATTGTAGCGGCTCAGCCTATTTCCATTTAACGTACGATATGGCTGAGTGTACGAACACTTCTTTCGAAAGAGACTAAATCTTTTCAGATTAGTCGTTTAAATTAACCAATCTCTAATCACAAGCCTTTTTACAAGGATTTATCACCAGGACAGCTTTTCGAAAACAAAGTAACGTCATACCACGTATCACTTTGACCTATTCACTAAATTCCTTATGGATAAAATGTCCCACAGGATTCTCAATCATATACAGTGCTGGCCAAAAGTCCCTCACCTCCTGAACTTCACTCATAATAAGAGCTAGATAGATGAAATTTTGTGTGTATATACTCTATGATGAATGCTGATCATTGGCACAAGCCCCGTCATAATTGCTCGAGTTAGAACGGAGTTATAATAGGTAGTAGTCATGTCCCTTGTGAAATCCATAATTCGAGAAACGAAAGACCTTTTGAGTCGGCCAACACTTCATTATGTAGTACTCTATTCTAGCTATCTATAATATAAATTTCAGTGAAGTTCATAGAGCCGTTGTAGAGTTATGACCATTTTACTGTAATCATGGATGTACACGAAAACCATGTAATGGCATTGTGAAATTCATAACTCAGTGAAAGCTTAATGGATCTAAGTGAAATTTTTAAGAGTGGGTGTGGGTGTGGGTGTCTGTCTTTGGTTAACAACCATACCAACACCCACACCCACATCCAATACGGTGAAAATTAGCATTACCATGTAACATTTTTTATTTCGAGTATGGAAAAACTATCAGAATAAGTCAATGGGACATTGTTTTTACAGTTTTTGTAGAGCTTTTCCTCGAGCATCTTTGGAAAAGAAAACCAAGATTTTATCATTTGTCTATGCAGAGATATTCGCAAAACAAACTATGTTGTACACATTTTGGAACATCTGGTAGCAACGTCATGACAGACCATCACTTTTAATCATCTAGAAAAACCATCAGAGCAAGTCGATATAGATTTGTTCGTACAGCTTTTATAGAACTATCGACCGTACATCTTTTGAAAAAAAAAAAAAACTTTTATCATTTATCCATGTTGAGATAAAGGGTGTCCCATAATAACTGAGGATAATTTTTTATTCGTATTTTTCATAGTTTTACTCGATGTAGAAGGCTGAAATTTTTGTCACATATACATCTGATCCAGATCTTTTATTGCTAAAAGTTTCAGCTATCTAGCTATAAGTAGTGGTAAAATACATCGGCAAAACTGAATACATAAATTTTCGTAATCGATTTCGCAGGGTACTTCCATGCGTAGCCAACCAAAAACTCACAAAGTGTCGAAAAATTTTCTTCCGCATAAGACTTTGTAGAGCTTTTCTCGCTGATTCTTTTGATAAAAAATTTTTTGAATTTCGTTGAGAAATGACGATGTTATGATCAAAATATTTATCATAAAAAAGGAAGATGTCAGATTTTTTTTGATAGAAATATCGTATACAATGTTTAATCGTGATTTATTCATTCTATTCGTCCGTATCTGAGAAACCGTCTATAGGATTTTGTAGAGCAAACTTTCCTCTACCAAAGCTACTATGTCACATTTCTTCAGAAAATAGCCATTCTGAGATATATGAATCGATTTTTCCTTATATTTTAAGCTATTTTACAGTGTTTAATTTTTTAACCATAACATTGCCATTTCTGAATGAAATTCGAAAAGTTTTTTTACCAAAATGACCAGAGAAAAAAGCTCTACAAAGTCTGATAAGAAAGAAAATTTTTTTGATACTTTGTGATTTTTTGGTTGACTACTCTTAGAACTACCTTACAATATTTTCGAAGTAAACATATATGCAGAAATCGATTACGAAAATTTATGTATTCAGTTTTGTCGGTGTATTTTACCACTACTTATAGCTAGATAGCTGAAACTTTCAGCAATAAAAGATCTGGATCAGATGCATATGTGATAAAAATTTCAACCTGCTACGTCGAGTAAAACTATGAAAAATACGAATAAAAAATTATCCTCAGTTATTATGGGACACCCTTTATATAGTGACGTTGACTGGCATCAATCGTCATTGGTGACCGCCAATTCTTTGCTTCAACTGAATGGAAAACACAGCAAGCTTACATTATCTTGCTTATTGCAATCGAATGGAGAGGAATCTTTGATGTCTGAGATTTTTGAGTTTATCAGCAGTCATTTTTCGTTAAAATGCAAAGAAAACTTAGCTTCATAGATGAATTTGTTGATGACATATGAAAAACGTAGTAAATATTTTAATGCTGCTGTTCCATAAAGCTGATTTTTACATATTTGAAATATTTGAAAACAAAAGAAATAATAAATATATAGTCTACTATTTACAACTGTCAATGAACAAAACTCAGAAGACTGTTTTTCATGATTGAAAGTTGCCTAGCTTGGCAACATACATTGTACCTTGATTATCTTATTTTTCTTCAAACTGAAATGCAGCTGTTTTTATATCGAATTGTATAGAATTTTATGATACATCTTTTGATAATAACCTAAAAGGTTGACAATAAAAACTCAGTGGGATATCAAGAAAATTCAAAGATCCTCATTTATTCTAGACTATCCGTTTGTTCAAAATTACGCAGTCATCATATTCCACAAGACTGTTATTAATCTTTTTTTAATTTAGGTAAAACAGTATTTCCCGATTTCTTGTATCCACCAGCACACGAATGGTGGAAGTCACAAATTGTTGATTATCATACTAAACTCAAATTTGACGGTCTCTGGATTGATATGAAGTAAGAGTATATTTTTATTGATGATCATGATCTATGTTTTGATCACTCTAGCGAACCAGCTAATTTCGATACAAATAAAGAGAAACCATGGAATTGGAATCGACCGGAACCGTGGAATCTCCATTGTCCTGTTGATAGTGAATCTTTAGATAAGCCACCGTACAAGACAGCAATTTGTGGCGATTATTTATCGGACAAAACATTGTGTATGATTGGTGAACAGGCAGATGGACAAGGCAAAATTTATCATCATTATGATGTCCACAGTCTATATGGATGGTCAGAAACAATAGCCACATTGCCGGCTGCACGTGCCACTGAAAATAAACGATCGATTATAATAAGTCGATCAACATTTCCGACTTCAGGCTCATTCAGTGGTCACTGGCTAGGGGATAATACAGCCGATTGGTCACATCTTAAACATAATATCATTGGAATGCTAGAGTTTAATTTATTTGGTATCCCTTATATAGGTGCCGATATTTGTGGCTACTTTCGAGATACAACAGAGCAACTATGTCAACGATGGATGCAACTAGGTTCATATCCTGCTAGTTTTTCATTATGAAACTTAATAAAATTATCGTTTTTATTCAACGTTATTCTAGGTGCTTTCAATCCGTTCTTTCGAAATCACAATGGTTTTAATTATATCGATCAAGATCCTGGAATATTTTCGACAGAAGTTGTTACATCAAATCGTCATGCTGTTGAATTACGTTACAGTCTCAATCCATATTTGTACACACTATTCCATCGAGTTCATATTTCAGGTGGTACTGTTGTTCGTTCTATGGCTCATGAATTCCCTTCCATCCCTGAATGTTGGTCACTTGATGAACAATTTTTATGGGGTCCATCATTACTCATTGCTCCAGTTATCTATGAAAATCATGTCAATAAGTCGATTTATTTACCTACAACTGAGCGATGGTTTGATTATTATACTGGTCAAGAACAGACAATACTTGCACAAATTACAGTATCAGCACCATACAACTTTATTCCATTATTCTTACGTGGTGGTGCTATCATACCACATCAGCAGTCGGCTATGAATACTGTGCTATCACGTAAGAAACCCATGTATCTTATTATTGCACTCAATACAGAGCAACGTGCTAGTGGAGATCTATTCTGGGATGATGGTGAATCGATTGATACTTATGAAAACTTGCTTTATAATTATTTTATTTTTAATTTCAATTCACAACGTTTAACACTTGAACCTTGGACATATAATTATCCACAAATGGGCAATGATGTCAAATTGAATGAAATAAAAGTATTTGGCATGAATAAACGACCGACAACAGTTATATGGAATGGACAAAATTTAATAGCAAGTAAATGGACATTCGATACGACGAAGAATGTCTTGCATATGCAAATGCTCGCTTTGAATATGGCTAAAATACAGAAATTTGTTTTTATTTGATTAGATTTTTTAAAGTCGCTTGATGTGAACTATTGAATAAAATACAGAAGAACATTTGAGTCATAGTTGTTTGTTAAAAATTAAAAAAACAAGCTGATTATGATATCATCTTCGATTAAAACTGAGTCTGTCGTAGATTACGACCTTTTTAGTGCATAACTCACACATTCACTTTTTCAGTCTAATATGTAGACATTGATCTTGGCATAACACTACCAAATAGAATTATCAGTATGAAAGAGTCTTAAGAGAGTGCCTAGCGTAGGATCATCCTAGGCCACTGGGGAAAGTTTTTTCGATTCGATTATCTCAAATAAAATGTCTAGTCAAAGTTAACTCAAATCCAAAATATTGGATCATTTGTTTTTACCTATGAAAAACGCAAGCTAAAACAAGCTTGAAGGATTTGTTATTACCATAAAAAATCGCTAAAAATGAATATACTTAGTATTTTGATATTTTCCCATGAGCAGCTTGATCGCTTGAGTTAGGGGGCGTCTCATTTGATCGAGAACAGCCTTGGCTGCCAATTCATTCTATTTAAGAGATTAATATATGGATTAAAAAACACTATAATTCAAAAACTGTTCAAAGCTCCAGAGATAATCCTTCCGAGGTGATGGTATTTTGGATTTTTCTGCGTGACGTACGCGGTACTACAGCTCTTTATAAATTATTAAGACTAAAAAATTCGGGGACCAAGTTAGCATGGACCACAATGTGGTTTACCCTGTCCAATAACTATTAACCGTAGTTCCTAAACTTATACAATATCTTTTAAAAATCAGAAAAACTGACTTCAGATTGGTATTCAGTACATAAAAGCAGAGCTGGGCAAGTCAAGTCAAGTCAAGTCTGACTTGACTGGACTTGGTCGAAAAAAATTTTGGGTGTGACTTGACTTGTGACTTGAGAAACATTCAACTTGCCCAGCTCTGCGTAAAACCGGATCTGGTAACTTAGTTTAGAATGATCCAATTTATGAATACATTCGAATAGAAAACAACAGATTTCAAAACTTCATGACACTTCAAGACTGATGTCCCTACTATTTTTTCTCGCTCTAGTGCACTTTATTGATACATGATACGTACAGGCATCATCAAGTTATTTTGATCGTCATACCTGAACGTTAGCACCTATCTAGTTCGAGTCTTTATCATTTCATAGAAAATCCTCAGGACACTCTAATTTGATAAAAATGCCAGAAATTAAACGTTTTGAGCATCTTCCCATGTCTGTAGGAAAGCAATTTGTAACAGAGCAATGTATCATGAAAAGCACCGCATGACATTTTAAGCCAGCTCACATAGATCGACACTACGATGGTAAATATATTGAGTTATTGTTAAGTTAAGTAGGTTTAGGATCCTCGATAAAGTATCTCCTCTGATACTAATCTTCTCAATCACCATGAGTTGACTGAATTGAACCAAGAGTAACAATTAAATAATAGTTCTACGGCAATATAATGTGAATTTGATAGTACCTCATTAAACCATGCCCTATTTTTCGTTTGCTGAGTTCTTTTCACAAACGTTCTTGACGTATCTTCTGAGTCTCACAGTTAACAGTACCTCACATGATAAAACGGTATATCTTTCGAACATAGTGTCTTATCGTTGTCTTTGTGTGACTCATGTCTTGTCGAACGTTAATATCGCTACACATTTTCCAACTAGCCCATAGATCAGCAAAAAATTAAATTTATTCCGGTTTAGTTTGTCGGTAGATTTCTATATATTTTAAGCCTTCTAACTATTCTTACTCATCACCTTTTACTCCTTCTGATTCTGGAACTACTTTCATTCACTTTAGTCTTTTTAGTCCTTGTAATTTCTTTAGTTCTCTCATCATTTTTAGTCATTTTCTCTCTTTGACTTTTGTTTGATTCTTTTCACTTGTTCACCATTCTTTACTGTATTACAAAGCTATCCTTTTTAATGTAAATTAGTACTATGATGAAGGTTACATTTTAGGAGGCATTCGTAAGTGATATCTTATATATATTAGTGGTGCTCGGTAGCAACAAATATCTAATTAGTTTAAAAATAGCTTTAAAAAATGGATTTTTTTCCAGATTAAATGAACAGCGTTAGCAATTCAATAATATGAAATAAGAAAGGATAGACAAATTTTGATCGTTCTTCGGAAAAGTTGCATAAAACATCCCCAAACTGCTTGAACCATGCATTGGTTTGTTCACAGATGACCATATTAATATCTGCTAAATGTTCACGCAAATTTGTAGTACGTTCTTGATGACACATTGGACGATTGTAGGTCTGTTGATGAAGACAATCAATGTACATTTCTGATGAATCGAGAAATTACGTGAATCTTGTTGATTTTATTGTACGAACATCATAAAATCGTGTTTTGATATAAATTCCGACACTACACACATTATTTGTAGACAAATATGTTTGATATTGATGACAAATCGTGGGTTTTTCTGAGCGTTTCAATCCAATGAAACAATGTGATAAAAACTTGTTCTAATAAATGAATTTCTAAGAACTCAACGATGATCCCATAGGATTGATTCTTGCCATTCACAAGTAGAGGGTTTCCGTTAATATTACAGTCATTATTAATGTTGATTTCTTCTCCAACAGTATCTGACATCGAGTTTATATTGTATGTTCTACACTAACCAACTGTTTCATTAATATTACTGTTATTTATTGTATCTGATGTTATTGCTATTGATTCATATTGATCGTCACTTAATTTGCCCTTGTCTATGCATTCTTGACGATTACCATATCCAACTCTTACATATCCTTTAAAACAAAATCATTTGTTAAATAAGAATAATACAACTGACTGCATAAACTTTTCTTTTACATACTTAGCTTTTCACTAGCAACAACTATTGTGATATTACAACATATATAACGACTTCATTTTTGAAAAGCATCAGACACAAATACTCTTGAACACGTCGAACTACAATCACTCCGTTGTTTATGGAAAAATCAACATTTTACAAACTTAATATTTAATTTATCGTATGTTCTATTCATAATTACAACTAGGTCGTGACGATGACTAAAAATCATATGAAGTAAAGTTGAAGAAAAAAGATCAAATACTTCAGCACAGTAGTATTACTATTGATTTGCAATTGTTAATTTGTCTTCTGTTACACAAAACAATGTGATCATTATGAATTGATATAAAACCCAAAAATCTTGTATTTGAGGCGAAGATTTCTTCACATAATACGTATCAATATTCACATAAGTTAAATTGTTTGTTGTATTAAAGCATTTAGTGAGATTTTTAAAACTGCTGTGTAAATACAAGATTGTGTTGGATAACTATTGAATTAAGTCTTTTTCGTTAGATGTATTCACCTCCGAAATATATCAAACTATTGTCCAAAACAGATTCGTATATAACGTACATTTATTCACCCTCATTAACATAATTATATGAATTTTTTCTTTAATATTTTTCACAGTAAGCATTCCTAATTGTGCTTCTGTATGGATCATTTATTTTGAATGCTGATATTTTTCGATCTTTGATAAGCTTTGTCTTTGTATTACAGCAATCCTTGATAAAACAGCCCAGTAATTGATTTAGAACGTTCTTTAGATGTAAAAACAATGATTTATAATTGCTGTCTAAATCTTTTTCTTCATCTCGATTTACAAATCCCAATTTATCTTTAACCATTAATCCTTTTTCAATTATTATTGTTGTTCATTCTTTCAACCCTGAAGGATCACGTACATTGAATAAATCTCATATAGTTGGATTACGGTCTTGTAAATGACTATCAAGATTATTATTAAACCATTCATCACAAACAATTGTTAACTTTAAGAAAATCGATCGAGAAACCTGAGCAATAAAGGACTCAACGAAGATAATCAATAAGACAATAATTGTTGTAAATCATTTCCGTCATTTGTTTTGAATTTTTTTTCGCCTGTTATCATTGATAAAAAGTTCCTGGTTGAACGATGATGCATCTTCGTCGCTTGCTGTTTTTCAAGTATATTTATCAAAAAATTAGTTTAGCACCAGATTATCTTACAAGATACACGATCTAAAAGTACATATTCTTACATTTTGCTACCAAATTAATATTGAGTTGATCATATGGAGCAGTTTGTAATGTTTCTATCAACAGATGTGTTAAAGTTTGTGATTCTGTTGCGTATTTCAATGTACGTAATGAACCAAGATATGAGTTAATATTTACGTGAATCACCAATAAATTCCGTTGTAAGATGCGTTTATTTATTCTGTCTCCAATAATATCTGGAATATATTTTAAATATGATCCAACTTGAAGTCTTCCGATTTGTGTACATTTATCAACTGTCAATAATTTTTTTGTTTAACAATATAATGCTTCCTTAATCTCATTAGCTATTGCTTTAATATATAACGAAATCAACCCTTTCATGAAAGTAATTGAGAGAATTAAAAAAATTTTTGCTCGCTAGTTTTTCATGCTCTGGAGTTGTTAATATTGTTGTTGTTCCTTGTACAATATCCATACGCAACACTTACAACTTAAAATATAAATAGTTTATTGCTTCAACTTGTTCATGAGTATTTGTCTTTGACGATTCTTCAATTTGTTCAACTGTAACCAATATTTACCAATTTTAAAAATGTAACCAACAGAATCTGTAATGTTTTTCTCTCTGGCAAACGCATAAGGCACTTATGTACCTTCATTTTCTATCATTACAGCTGATTCGAGATGTTCAGTGTGTTTATCGTTGTCATCGCCGTACACTGGTAATAAAACATGTTACACGTTATAATCAACACCACGGATTTCAAACTCATCCGTTGTTTGTTTTTATTGATCACTACGTGATAGTGAGCTGTATTCATCATGATAAGAACCTAAAGAAAAACAAAACTACTTCTATACTACCTGTACTACTTTTTATCTTTTCTATTGCAAGTACATGCCCATAAATTAATTTAGAGTTCTGGTTAGAAGAAGCTAAATTTATAAAATAATT